AAAAAAAAAAAAAGAAGAAAAAGAAAAAAAAGAAAAACCAAACCAAACCTTTTTTTTTGCCTGGTAGCCATGTGTTTCTGTCCTCAGATAATGCTCCTTCTCTCTACAGTTTAATAGTAATTATTCTTCTGAAAGGTTTGAGAATGCTTTCATTTGTCAGCAGGTAGCATCCGCCTCTGGGATGCAACAAGACAGGGGTCAACATGCAACACTGGGTCACAGTGTTAAGAGAGGGAGTGGTAAGAGTGCATCCCATGGAAAGTGGTGCAGGAAAGCTCTAAAGACAGGGAACAGCACTTCAAGGGCCAGACCAAGGCTTTGTGGCAAGCACCTCCCATCTTGTTATTGGAAGAGTTCACACAGTTGGATGAAGAACCAGCAGGTTCTTTTGGATGTTGTTTTATACTTTCCCCACTGACATCAGCCTGGATGTACAGCTGCATTAGCACAGGCAAGTGCTTCCCTTTTCAGCCATGTGAGGCCTCTGAACATATAAGTAATGCCACTGTTAAAGATGGTCCTAAAACAAATCCAGCATCTGTTTAACTGTGTGTTAGGAGGAAAGTTGCTAGAACAGGTGACGTGGTTGTGAGATGGACAAAACTGTGAGCACTTGAAGGTTCAGGTCTGTGTTAACCTTACTGTAGGTCAGGAACAATTGTTCTGGGGTAATTTAGGCAACTACTTTAACTAAATCACCTGCAGAGGAAGGGCAGCTGGCTTCGATGGGAGGGCTGCACATTAAGAGGTGGCACATGAAGAGCAGGGAGGGTTTAGAAAGAAGCAAGAAGAATTTTAATAGGCAACAGCAAAAGTCTTTACTGAGCCTATGGATCCTGGTATCCAACAGTCCTTCATTCCAGACCTCAGGTTTTTCCTGAGAGTTTTTTAGGTACCTTTTGAGAATTAGTATTGATCCATGATGCTCATCTATTAACAAAACTTTTCCATGAGATTAGTTCCCAAGTTCCCTGTGTATAAATTACTTCAGGATTGGTATCTTTTGTGCTGTGCTAAAGGGAGAAATTGTGATGGCCTCTGCACCAGCAGATTATCTTTGATGCACAATGCTCTTTAATAGCCTGTGACATTCTTAATAGGAGCCAATTATAAAAGTTCAGCTCTGTACAAAGCAAGATTAGCCAGTTTTCTGTTTTACAAGGGCAATATTCAGGGTTCTTTTAAAAAAAGTGTTATTAAAGACGATTATTTAGAAAAGCCTTGACCAGCACCAACTGAAGTTGGTAAGAGTTTCTACTATTGGCTGTTAGTTGGCTTCAATGATCTCATTAGAAAAGGCTCAAAGACTTTCTGAGTCTATTACCATTCTGCTGACTTTTGTATTTGGAATAGGCTGACTAAAAATTCAATAACTCCGTGTCACTGAAAGAGAGATTTCAACATTCACTCCAGAATAGAACTAGGGGGGTTCTGGCAAAACCAATCCAGTGGGCAGAAATCAGCCTTTGTTCTGTCTCTTGTAACCAGACACCTAATCAGTGCTATAGTCATTATTCTGGGCATTGCTCCCCACCCCATCTGGCCTCTTCTTCCCTCCAGATTCAGTCCTTAATGTGAAAGTATTTCTTAACGGAGGTTTGGTCAATTCTAATATCTGTCTAAAACTGTGGCTTCAGTTTCCAAGGAGAAAACATTAACCAAGGTGTTCTTAGCTTGTGTGTTAATATGTTTTTTAACCACACACCTCTTTCCCCCCAATTTTTAGACCTCTATAAAACTTCCAGCAGAAATACTGCTCAGTTATGGTATATTTAAACCCACTGACTATTGATTTCCTTTTTTTGCAATGACAATTTGTGATACTCCAAATGATCCACTTCAGCCATGACACCTTGGTTCCAACCAGTTCTGGAAGCTTCTGAAATGCCAAGAGGGCTTTTCCTGCAGTGGCTGTGTGAGAGCCCTCTCCATACGATGGAAGATGATTTGTTTCTGAGAAAACATGTTAAACCTTCAATTCTAGAGCAATTCACAGTACCTCCAATGTAGAGGGGTGTGTTGAGGCTGACAGAAGACTGTTTCTGGAGCTTTCCCAGACTCTTGGGAGCCCCCTTGTCCACCACCAGGTTCAGAGTTTGATTCAGCATCACGAGTTCCACACTATGGAACTGCCCATCATTTACTGTTTCCACACTAAAAAGTAAGAGGGAAAAAAAAAAAGAATTAGAAGATGAACAAGGAACAGCCTCTGCTTCTGTGACATCCTGTGTCCCTGTGTCCCACCTTGCACAGCACAGCTCTGGAGTGCTCTGGAGTTTGCAGTCACGGTGTTTTCAGCATTTCCTCCAGCAGGGAGGTACAGACTGACACTCAGCTAATCCTGTGCAGGCAGTACTGACACATGTGGAGCACTTCAGAGGGCAGCTCATCAGGACAACAGCCATGCCAGCTGTTGTTCCCAGGGCAGAAAAGCCACTCTGTAGCTACATGACACACTGGCTTTGGTGACAAAATCCTGACAAATCCCATTCTGTGCTCTCAGCCACAGCCTGCTGCCCTCAGTCACACTGCTTGGTGCTCATGCTGCAGGCTGGATCACTGAAGTAATTTTTTTAAATTCTGCTATGGGTGGTTCAAACTCAAATTATCTCACGTAGGTGAGAGGTTGAGGAGAGACTGCAGTTCAGGGTGAGACAGAAGAGGTCTCTGAAACCAGCATCTCCTCACAGCAGAAGTGGTTTGGAACTACGAATCGAGGAAAAAGGACAGACTGAGGTTCTTAAAGCCAGAGAAGGAATTCAGGAGCTTTTGGCTTATAAATGACCAGTGTGCTTTGTTCAATATCAGACAATCCTACCTGAACACAAGCAAAAATGACAAATGGCTACTTCTTTTTAAGGTTAAGGTCTAGATTGAAGCTTGAAGATAAAACAGTAGGAATTGTTGGGTGGTGGGGCAGAGAGCCAGCAGAGTAGACAAGATGTTAAAGTAGTGTGTATTTATTGCTTTGTTTTTAAAACTGATTTTTCAGATGCATGAAGCATGCAGCAACCTCCTAGTCTATACTTCAAACAATCTTCACCTTCGTCTCCTCTTCACTCCCCCAGACATTAAAAGGTACAGTGATATCATTCCATTTGCATCGTGATATAATTTTTTAATTTTCAGGGCATTTTCAGCTCTCAAACCTTTATGCTGCATGGTGAAATTCTCTAAAACAACCCAATGGTTTCATGCAGTCCTGAAAGCAGGGCGAGGCAAGGGTGGGATTACCTGCTCTTGAGAAAAGAGGGTCTCAAACCTGGGTGATAGTTACAGATCTGATGGGATTTTCCCACTGCTGTAGGTGTAATTAAAAGGCACGGTATCTGGTCCATGTGCACTCAGACACCAGGGCACAACAAGAACCTGATAACAGTAGTGGCTGGTCTGGAATCAGCCTGTGGGCTCTGTGAACTGCCCACATGCACAGTGAGCACCCTTTCCCAGACACCTCCCTTCAGGCTGGGGGTGCTGTTTTGTGTGGACAACGACAGAGCACAGCAGCTCTGGGCATCCTTAGATACTGCCTGGATTTAGGATTGCTGCACATGTGGTGCACACCACAGCACAGTGTCAAAGTTTGGGTTTCTGCTCGTTCAAGTAAGCATAAGCTCATCATCCTCTCACAGGAAGTTACAAATTTAGGTTCCTTTCAGGCGATTTGTAAATTGGCAAGGTCTCTCTGAGCTATTTACCCACACTTTCTTCGCTGTCAGTGGAGAGGAAGAGACACACTCATCTCTAAGGGTGAATCACCTTTTAGATGTGCCCACCTCTCAACCTAGATGACATGCTGTGCCCATCTTTAGTGCCCAGTCCTGCAGAACTGATGTGTAGGCTATTGCAGCAAGGAAACAGGACCTCGACTTCACAAACAGATTACATGCCTTGGAGATTACTGGAATGCAGTTATTACTGGAAGAAGTTTCATTTTTATAGTGTTTTATGGTAGACCTGACATAACCAATTGTACTTGAGTGATGTCAGGCAGCAAGTCAGCACTGCAGGCATTTCTGGGGATGTGCTGTTTGACAGGAGCACACTGCTGCTCCAGACTGGAGCTGGCGTGACTCTGCAGTGCTGCTCTCCCCACAGGTTTTTGGGACGAATCACAGGCCTTCAAAAGTTCATGTAAGGTTACACAGGTCATGAGGTAACAGGCAGCAGTGTATGAGCACCTTTACAGTGTGGCTTTACATAAATAAACGAGTTAGTTCTGCCACAGAAAGGCTCCCAGGAAAGCTCTGCTGGCTTAATCACTCATTCCTGACCTGCAGGGAAGCATTGGGCTGTGGCTGCTGCCCGTGAGAGAGCCCTGGGGAGAACTCAGGAACCTGGAGCTGATGGTAGAGTTCCAAGTGTTTTAAAGAAAAAAACATGAAGGCTTGACACTGAACAAAAATGTGATCCAGTTAGTCCAGCAGACACTCTGGATCACAGCAGTTGTATCAGGGCCCCGGCAAGGGCAGTGAGTTGTGTGGGCCAGGATGAGAGGCAGAGGATGTGTGCTGGACTCACTGCTCACGGGCCTGAGCCTGTTCCCCTGGGAAGGACAAGCCTGTCCCCACTGCACCCGAGTGCACTGCAGCAGGGCCACGCCTCGGGCACTGCACTTCGTGCATTGGCAACTCAAGTAAGTTTGGAAAGAGCTGGTCTGAACTTTGAGTTTAGGTTCTCTGGAATTCTGCTGAGTGTCTGCTGCCTTACAAGGAGCAGCTGTGCTAGGGCAACACCGGCTGGGTGATCCCTCTGTGCTCCCTGCTTATCTCACTGCTTTCTGCAATGCCTGATTCCCAGGGGGAAGCACTTGGACTTCCAGCTGAAAGGTGTGAGATAAATGGAAATGCTCACGTGTAATTGTTAATCTGTGCAGAAGTGCCAATGAAAGGGAGAAGTGGAGCCAAACCCCATGGGCTGTGAGAGCTGAGCACTGTGGAGGTGGGATGGATGGCTGTAGGATTTGGAGCCCTTCCCCAGCAGGATCAATAGGTGAAGCTAACACACAAACCACATGGTTATCTGCTCAAGGCCAAGCTATGGCCATTTGTCAAAGGACAACATTATCACATCTGGCAGGATTGGCTCGTCCCAGAGCCAGGATTTCACAAGCATTCATCACCTACTCTCCACAGGGTGTGCTTTTTCCAGATTATGCCTTGACTAGCAGGCACACAAAAGTCTGCAAGTTTTGGGGATGGAAGCAGCCACCCCACATGGTGCTGATGCCTTTCAGCATACCCAGAGCTGGTATTTTTGTTGCAAAGGGAGTGAGAGGTCCCAGTCTGAAGGAACACATAGATGAGTATTAGTCCATTTTGATTCTTCACTTTTTAACCTGGAATTAAAATAATCTTTGTCTGAACTTTGAGAAACAAAGTAACTCACAGCCATCACACAACACTGCAGTTTTGCAAAGCAGATAAAGTTAGAACAGACAAAGCACTCATTTGCTGTTTGAGAAGACACAGAGATATGATAGAAAAGCTGAATGTGGACAGCCAGGATGACAGGAAATCCCCAGCCAGCAGATACTTGTGTGAGAGCGCTTACTGCTGCTGCTGATGGAAAGGCATTCAGACGCCTTAGCATTTTGAGATGGAGACAACCGTGGGGGAGAGACCAGTGGTGAGAGAAAAGCTGCTCCTCAGAGCCTCTTGTTCAGCCGGGCCTGGAGGAGCCCCGGCAGTCGCCGGAGCCAGCTGGAGCCAGTGGCTTGGCCGGGGATGAAGGGCGGCGGCCGCAGGCGCTGAGCAGCGCTCGCTGCTGCGCCCGATCTTATCGGGACCCGCCGCTCCCAAGGGTCCTGTTCAAACCTCACTGAATTCTCACTGGGATCGGCTGCTCCTACAGGGCTCTTCCTTCTGGAACCGCCCGCGGGGTGGACACACTCCCCTCGAGCCGGGATTTATGGGGCTCCCCGCGCCGAGCTGCCCGCTCCGAACGTGGCGGGGTGCAGGCCGGGAATGTGGGGTGCGAGCAGGGAATGAGGGATACGGGCAGGGAATGTGGGCCGGGAATGCGGGGTGAGAGCCGGGAATGCGGGCCGGGAATGCGGGCCGGGAGCGCGGTGCAGCGGCGGGGACGGGCAGCAGAGGGCGCCGTGGCACCGCGAGCCGAGCGGGGACAGCCCAGCTCCAGCTCCGGCTCCCGGCCCCGCTCCCAGCCCCATTCCCGGCCCAGCTCCCGGCCCGGCTCCGGCTCCCTTCCCGCTCCCAGCCCCATTCCTGGCCCCGTTCCCGGCCCAGCTCCGGCTCCCGGCCCCGTTCCCGGCTCCCTTCCCGCTGCCGTTCCCGGCCCCGGTTCCCGCTCCGCCCGGGCTGCACGGTGGAACCGAATCAACCGGTGCGAGCGAGCACGACGAGGGACACCCGAAAGGGGCGGCAGAAAGAGCCCGAGGAGCTGAAGCCGCACCCGCTGCCTTTCCCGGGACTCTAACAAACCATGTGCTGCTCCTGAGATCTGTCCAAGCCTCTAATACATCAGGAAAGTTTCTGACTTCCAAACGCAGCATTTTGTGCCACCGCAATTGAATATTGTATAGTTTCCTACACATCTTTGGTGAAAAAAGGGGAGGAATTACGATTAAACACCTGAAGCGCAAGCAAGGATTCCCAGGAATTTAATAATTAAGCTTGCTGAAAAGTAAGCAGCAAAAGGAAGCCGAAGTTTCCCCTAAAGCACTGCTGCTCTGGATCGTGGTCAGCAGCTGGTGAGGAACACCTGGTCTGGCATTTCCCCACTGTGCTCACTCTGCAGCACCCCTCCGCTCTCTCTTCTCCATCACACTCCTCTTTTCACAGCCCACTTTACACGCCTTGCACAGTCCAATACATTGCTCTCACTGAGGTTACCCTCACAGAGAGCTGGCCATGGCATCTGCTCAAATTTGGCAAAAAGAAGAGGAAAATGTTGGGATGTGAGAAAAGCCCAGCTTCCAAAGCCCTGGGTCCAGCATCTTCTATTCCCTCTGAGCTGCCCTCACAGGGAACAGAGGCCACTAGAGAGGGCTCTGTGGAAGAGACATTAAGTTTTCCTCTGGGAGGGAGCTGCCACTTCTGCCAGAGCAGCTCCAGCCAGGTGAGCCAGTGGAGCCATTGCACAGGGCACTGCACACAGTGCACATGGCCTCTGCTGGGAGCTCATAACACAAA